TGTGTGTGTGTGTGAGACTTGGGACTGCCTTACCGTGAAGTAACACTAACTAACTTTAGTCCCAAGTTAGTCCACGCAAAATGTTAATGTGCTTTAATGCCTACATGTGTAGATGCCATCCTATTTCTGCTTACTGTTCAGTAACTTACTGCACAGTAAATTTAAGATAGCATAAATGCATTTGTAAACATGCCCAGTGGGTGCATCTACATGTGTACTTTACTACAGAGTTGACTAATTAGTTCTTCAGTAAACAACACTGTCTACAGGTACACCAGTTTTAGGATGCAGTAAATTAACTCTGCTGTAAGATAGTACTGTCGGGGGCAGTGCTATCCTATGGTGACTCATATTCCTGTGGTCATGGGCACACATGCAGATGCTGTACCTGTGACCACCTGTCTCCAGTGCAAACTCCACAGTAGCTTATCATATCTCCTTAATGACATGTGTAGAAGCACCCAATGTTGCTTAAAAAATGGTACAAATTAGCAAGTCCACAAGCATACATTATTGAAACATTATTTGTTAGACTAAATATTTTTTTTCCTGCATTGTAATTTTATGAGTCCTTGCCTCCTATAGACTGTCCACTCACTCATGTGAGCCTTTGGTACAAGTATTTAGTCAAAGTATTAGGTTTCCCTTTAGAAAATGTAATAAATTTACTGCAATATTTTAGCCAAAACTTTTCATTTTGGAATCTTATGCTGTGTTTGTGAATTATATGTATTGGAGTATAACATAACATATAACAATATATAACACAACATTTCCTACCATATTTTCCCTGTATTGTAAATATTCGTAACTCAACAAATGATGTTTAAGAGAGTACATGATGTGTAGGTGGGAGCCTGCTACTCATCATACCCTTTATGATGTGTAGCAGATTTTTTTACTGTAAATTGGTTAAGGTTTCTAGTGGGGGGGGGGAAATAAATTATAAGGATTTTTTATAGGTATTTATTAGTTTCATACAAAATGGGCCTAAGTCCTGTTCACAAAACGGCATACAGGCAATTCAGTTTTCTATAGCCTGTTGCCAAGAAACAGCTTATTTCTTTTCTACTCTTTCTCTGCCTTTCTTTTAATTTATCAGCAACAGCCTCTTCTGTGCCACAGTTCCTTTTAGCTCCAAAACGTCTTAGCTTAGAATCACTATCCTGAGTGATTCTCAAAAATAAGCAAGAGCCATTTGATAGGACCACAGGGGCTAGGGTTGGAAGGGATCTCATCTAGGTCAGGCCCCTACTCAAGGTAGGATCATCTCTGACTAAACAACCCTGTGCAAAGTGCCTGTACAACCTGCTTTTGACCCTTTCCAGGGATAGAGATTCCACTACTTCTCTAGCTTACTTGTTTCAGTGCTTAACCACCTTCCTAGTCAGGAAGTTCCTCCTAATCTCCAGCCTAAATTTCCTCTGTTGCAACTTGAGTTCATTGCTTGTAGTTCTGTCCCCCATGGCCACAGAGAAAAGGCCATCTCCATCCTATCTGTAGATGTGCTTCAAGTATTTCTGCATGTAGTTATTGCATCCTAAAAGCACTTTGTACTTGTTTTTGTTTAATTTATGTTTTATTTCAGAACTTTTCTCCAGGTTTTCTAGGTAATTCTAGATCCTACCCTTACCTTCCATGCTGGCTGCCACTCCACCCAACTTGGTGTCATCTGCAAATTTGCTAAGCACGTGCTCAATCTTCTTGTTCAAATCATTAATGAAGACCTTAAACAATACTAGACCTAGGAGAGACCCCTAGGGATACCGATGCGTTACTTCCTTCTAACTAGACATTGACCCACTGATGATCACTCATTGAGCACAATGTCCAACTAGTTATGTATCTACCTTATAGTACTTTTATTTAGTCTGTATTTCCTTAATTTGTAAATGAAAATGTTGTGGGAGTCAGGGTTAAAAGTCTTGCTAAAGTTAACGTATATCAGACCTACTGCTCCCCCCACATTCACAGACTCAGTTGCCTTATCATAGAAGGAAAACAGTATGACCAGGCATGCCTTACTTTGAAGTATTGGTGAGTTTTGTTAGGCTTGATCAATTAAGCCTTCTTTAATTCACCCCATTCAAGGCTTTGTTTATCCCCATTGTTCACTGGAGTGGTCTACTTTTCTAAAATATTATTATTCAACCTCGTAATCTACATAATGCTCATCCCAGGGGTGGGTCCACAGAAGGTGCTGTGGCACAGTTGTTCTCCCATTTTGGATTATAATTTCTTAGTGGCTAGGGTCAGGAGGGACCTGAACAGGTCATCTAGCCTGACCCCC